AGGCCCCCGACTCTAATCCATCCCGCCCTGGAGAGAACTGCCCAGACTTGGAGAGCCCTGGAGACTTTCCCTTGAGCCTTGCTGGGGCTGCGCACCCTCCCTTCCCAGGGAAGGAGCACTTAAACTGTCCGTGGGGATCAAGAAGGCGCACAAATGTTTCTGCAGTATCTTCTCTTTCTTTTTCTTCTGAGCCCTTCTAGCTGGGTCACAAGTGACCTGCCCTAGAGCCCCATGTTTTAATAAGTACATCGATGATATAATTACCAGACAGATGCTCAAACTGATGTGTCTGAGCTTTGCTCTGCTCCTTGCTTGCCATGTAGCACCTGCTGCATCAAGTCGCTGTTTAGATCCGAGTAAGTGTGCCACCACAGGTGTCCTTAGGCGTCACCCTGGGCAGGAGGTCCCAAGTTCACCATTATCCCAATCATTGTCACCTAAGAGAATGCCTGATACTTTTTCTGGATAGACTAATAGTCATTCAAACTTTTTACCGCTCTAGGTTTGTAACACAGTACAGCGGCACTTGTTTTGGTGAATCAGTGCCCACACCTAGATCATTTTCAGCCTGCTCTGCTCCACTTGTCTTTCCTCCCCATTCCCCTCACTCCAAGAACAGAGTAGGATATTTTTTACTGCAGAATAGTATTCCACCCTGTGTCTATTGTGAACTATTTTTTTCCACTTTGCAGTGAAGGCACATTGTGTTGGTCTTAGTTTATGGTACTAGAATTCAGGTTGGTGGAAACATCTGTGGGTAGGTTTTGGTTGTGCACAGATTTTCATGTCATATTAGTAAATAGCTAGCAGTCACGTGGATTTGTTCAATACTATGTGTTCGTTCATTCAAATGAGAAAAGGCCAAACTCTTCTGAAGTCCTCCAAGTTGGAATTTCCCTCCCTCCTCTGGTCAGATGGATTCACATCTTTAAAACATTTTGTAAGGGTTGGCCAGATAGCTCAGCGGATTAAAGGGTTGCAAAGCAGCACACGAGCCAGGGGTTCGATCCCCGTGCCTGACTGGCCAACCCGCCCCCGGGATGCGCTGAGAGGCAATGGAGACTGGGCGTGGCGGCACGGTCTGTAATTCCAGCCCTTGGGTGGTTGTCAACGACCGAGGCACTCTGAGTCCTAGCTAGTAGTGAGACCCTGAACAGCCTGTAAACCCTTTCCTGAAACACGGGGGGGGGGGGAGACATTTGTGCTCTAAAAGTTTGTAACTATTACTTTTGCTAGAATATTCTTAGTTGTGGCTATTGTCTGTCACATTCCAAGAAGCCTCCTTCACAAGCTCCCTTTTCTTCTCGCACACGCGGCAGCGCAGCCGCCGTTTCCGCCCCGGGAGCGCGTTCCCGCACCCGTCAGCGAGTCTCCTACGCACTGCCCAGCAACTCCGGTCACACTCCCGCCGTCTGTCCCCCTCTTCTCAGCGCAGGCGAAGGTGGCTTGGGTGCGTCTGCTCCTACATCTCCGCGGCTTCACCTGAATCCAAGTAGTGGACTGAGCCCTCTGCGCCTCACCATTTTCTCGCCTCACAAATGGAGAACACTATTTTGTTACACTTGTAAGATTTTCTTAAAGCCTCCTCTATGACAAATACCCAAAACACAGCACAGTTGCTGCCCCATGTCATGAGGTTCAGGGTTAAATACTGTGCATATCGTTTATAAGATTGAAACCACATTGGTCACAAAATGAGAGTGTCGCAACAAGGTACCCAGCCCCATTCCCCATATCGCCTGATTCTACCCAGGCTAGATAAGGCACAGTGAACTGAGAAAGCCTAGTCTGCTGTTGGGGTCACACACAACCCTCCCGCTACCCTCCCTTCTGTTTAGGGGGCCATCTGCCTTCCTATCAGAGCAGAGGCCGCTCTGGTTGCTTTATGCAGCGGGGCCTGGAGCAGGAGGCATAGCAGGGGCCTCGGCTCCCAGGTTCAACCCATGTTGCTTAAGCAACCCCATCAGAGGCTCGCTTGGACCTCCAGCTCTGACGGTATTAGAGCTGACACCTAAAATCTACAGTAATGACCTCAGATGTCAGTGCATAATGAGTGTAGTTCAATACCGGCGAGAAAGGTAAGAAGCTGAATGATTTATTTGCCTGGTCCCGACTCTACACCGACTAAGTCCTTACAGGATAGAGGTTGGCAAAATGGTACCGCGGGGTATTCCAAGGGCCTGTTACCCTGCAGAAATATTTCAGATACAAAGAAAATAGAATAAACCTTGTTAGGCCTCTGAGAATTGTCAAAGATTTACAGAAAATAGATGAACAATCGATTTTTCAACTAAGAAACAGCTGCTCTAACACAACATATCTGTGAAGCTGCAAGCTGACCGCAGAGAAAGGAGCCTGGGCACCAGAGAACACCAAGAAAGTAAGTTGTTCAAACTCTTTTGGGCAGTTTGCTAAATGCACAGATAGACCCACAGCAAGAAATCACAAAATGGCCTTGGAGAGGGCAAAGTTTCATGCTGTAATACTAGAAAGCCCAATTCCCAGCATAAATATGAAGTATTTCAAGAACAGGAAGCATCTTTACTTTAAATTGAGAGAAATTGACCTGAACTAAGTGGACAATATTCACACATTGTACATCGAACTGAGGAGTCCACATCAATTGCCTGAGATATGTACAAAGGAGTTTACAGAAAAAAAAAACCTAGAATTAATTTTGGGTTTTGATGATTTCCTTTATCATTTTCTATCCAATCTCTTTGGTCTACTCTGTTCTAATCTTGTATCCTTCTTTCTGTTACTGCCAGTTTTGATGTTAACTAAATCCTTAAAATTTCAAGACAGGTTCTTAATTTAAAAGAATTCTTGCATTTATAAATTTCAGATGAGTGCTGCTTTTGCTTTCCACAACGAAAACTGTAGGTGTTTTTTTATGTTCATTTTTCTCTAACCAGTGTATAATTTCTCTTTTGAAATAAAGTTGTTCTGTTTTTTATGAGTGCGATTTACACCACTGACAAAAACGTGGTGAGTGGGGCAGAAAGCTAGTGCTGTCTCTTGGGATTCAGTAAATGTTAACCTAGATGTTTTTTTTTTCTTTGTGTAAATCATTGTTTGTGGCCAATGATTCAGAAATTCAAATATTTTGGTCAAGTACAAAATTTCAATTATTATTATTATTCTTTTTGTATTGGGAATTTTAGTCAGACCTTGTGCTTGCCGGGCAACTATACCTCCAGCTCAAACTTCAATTATTTTATTAGTTCTTTTAACAAATGTTTATTGAGAGACTAACAACAACAAAAACAACAACAACAACAAAACGACGCATCTACTCAGGTATGGATGATCAATGTTGTGCACTAATTCATGAAGGACCACTGCTGTCATTGACTCTCCATGTTAATTAGATATTAAATTTTAAGAGTAGAAGCTGTTAAGATTATGAAGAACAGCTTGGAAGAGAGACAGCATACGTGGTGCATAGTGAGTGGCTACCCATGCATGCCAAAGGGAAGGGCCTGAAGGACTTGGTGGCAGCAAGGCCACGAGCCAAGCACTGTGAGAAAGTGCTACTGGGCAGTGACAGGGCCTGAGGCGGCAGCTGGGAGATGGAATAGATGGGGAGACCATCAGTGCGACGTTAGAGGGCTGCACGGGGGCGAGGAAAGGGGATGGACTCAGCTCCTAAAAATGAATGGTTGGAAGGACATAAAAGCATTTGTGTAAAGAAGAATCTAGGACATTGTTGCTTTCTCTTCTTGATTAGTCGACAGAGAAAGTGTGCAGTTTTATGTTACTGCATTAAAATACTTTTACTTTTCTTCCACATTGGTACTCTGTTTTACCCCTTCGAACATAAAACTAAGAGCATGTTTTTTGTAGAAAGTGACTCATCTAAGCATAAATAGCAACTCAGGAGAAACACCACATCTGTGGGTCTCTCAGGACAGCATACAAAGGGAAGCCACATGCTTTCACTCACTAATATAACACTTTTCTCAAAATGGGATTCTTAGGATACCAGTTAGAGAAGAAATCTTAGTGAAAATATATACATTCTAACATTGAAGTTCAATTATTAAGTGCTGTGAATTAGTGAGTATGCCGCTGGGAAAGAGCCCCACAAGGGTACGTGGGCATGAAGAGATGCCTGGTGTGGGTGCAAGCTCAGGGCATGCAAAGGCTGCGCATCCCTTGGCATGATGCCCAAGCTGAGCACCCAGGACATCTGTGGGTTAGGGCAGCCTGAGCCAAAGGCCTGAGACGCCATGGGAGGTGCAGTTGGTGGTGTAATGATAGAAGAGTGAAGAAGCGGGATCCAGGCTCAAGTCATGAGCTCTGAGGTCCAAAAGGGAGAGAAGAGGGGTATGTGAGTAAAGGAATGCAGGGGTGGCATGAGAGAGATGGAGATGGACAGAGGAGGCACCACCTCTTGCCTGTTTTGTCCTCCAGTGAGCTCTCCAGGGTCAGGGAATGGTGCCCCAGAATAAAGAGGGGAGATTGAGCTGGCAGAGTCTGCTGCCTCAACTACCACACTCTGGGAAACACCCTTCAGGATGCTGAAAGATGAATGCATTCTCAGCTGTCTGGGTATCATTTCATTCCCTAAAATTAACACAGTAATTGACCAACATTATCGCCCACTGCATTTAATTCTAACCAGATGACAAGATCCCTGAAAAGTAACAAAATGAGAAACTGGAATGCATTTCATGTCAGTGGCCTTCACTGAGCACCCGATGTGCACCCGTGTGTGCTGAAGTGAGAGAGGAAACATGCACACAAATGAGTAAAAACATTAAGTACTTCACTGTGGGTTTTGAAAAATAGATCTGAAGATACCATAACATTCTCATCCATGTATTATTTGGATACAATGTATCTTTTCCCGACAGACTCATGGAGTTAGGTACTAAACATTTCACAGATTTTAGTTCATGTTGGATCTTCAATACAACGTGATACATGTTGAAGGTCTGAGACGAGTAAATATCAGAATCTCACACTGCTCAGACTCCAAACCAAAACCCTAGAAATTATTTTGTCCAACAGATGAATCTACTCTTGACCTTTAAGAAGGCGCTCTTCACCTCCTTGTTCCTCAGGCTGTAGACCACGGGGTTCAACATGGGGATGACCATAGTGTAGAACACGGAAGCGATCTTGTCTGTGTCCATGGAGTGGCTGGAGCTGGGCTGCAGGTACATGAAGATGACGGTGCCGTAGAAGATGGAGACGGCGGTGAGGTGGGAGGCGCAGGTGGAGAAGGCCTTTGAATGTCTTGCCGCTGAGGGTAACCTTGAGATTGTGGTAAATATGAAACTGTAGGATACACTGACAATTAACAGGGCAAAAAAGATGTTGAAACTCACAACATACAGAACAACCAGCTCATGATAATGTCTATCAGAGCAGGAGAGAACCATGACTGCTGGAATATCACAGAAAAAGTGATGGATTACATTGGATTTACAGAAAGAGAGACTGAATGTGTCCCCAGTATAGGTGCAGGCATTCAGGAAAGCGATGGTGTAACAAGCTATGATCAGCCATGTGCACATATTTGTTGTCATCCTTGAGGTGTAGTGCAGGGGTTTGCACACTGCTGTATAGCGGTCATAGGCCATTGCAGCCAAGAGACAATTTTCCCCACTGGCAAAGACTGCAAAAGAAAACATCTGAGCAACACAAGCAGTGTAAGCAATGACCTGGTCTCCTCCTGTAAGCAGCCCAGCAACGATCGTCGGAGTGACCGCAGAGGAGTATCCAAAGTCCACCAGCGCCAGGTTCCCGAGGAAGAAGTACATGGGGCTGTGCAGACGCGGGTCCAGCAGGATCAGCAGGACCAAGCCCAGGTTCCCAAGCACAGTGATGGCGTAGATGAGCAGGAAGGTGAGGACGAGGGGCAGCCGCAGGAGGGGGTCGTCGGTCAGGCCCAGCAGGAGGAAGGCTGCCACCTCTGTGCTGTTCTCCATCAGTGCTGTCTGAGAATCAGTGCTGTTGATGTACTTTATTATTGTCAAAAAGGACAAGCAACATAAACCAACTGTAACTGAAAAATATTCAGTGAAATATGTATTTTGTCCTTATAGCCTCTATTTTTCCTCAAGATTCTTTCAGAAAACCTTGCGGGGCTGAAAACCTGTTTCAATATATACATTGCACATAATTTTGCTTCTGATGACTCTTCGTGAGTCACCTATCAAAATTTCAAATGTTTATATATTTAAAGTGCTAAATAATTTTGAATGTTACTTAGAATTGCTCGTTTGCTTGAATAAATATTCTGGTTTACTTCTGAACACAGTGAAAGCTCTGGTTTCTGTGTAGCTGCCCCACAGAAAACTCCTGCGGACACGTTAAATGCACATTCACAGTCTCCTGCCTGGGGTCTTCTGTGTTGGATGGTATTTTATATGTGTAGAAATTTGGGATCATAGGACTCTGAGGATTTCTGTGATATTTAGACAAGTACTGCTTGAAAATCTCCACTCTGGGCCCATGCCAAAATTTCACCCATTCCAAGGGCTCCTACGTTTAATGGTGAATGTAGACAAAACTGAATGGAAGTCACTTGACCATTTGTCCTAGTCTGCTCTGTTCAAACACAACATTTCAAATTTCACAGTGAACTGAGAGAGTGACTCATTAGGTGGTGACACTTTTCACTGCACATCTTCATGTAATTCAAAATAAAATGAAGAAACGTAGCAAGGCCCCCCAAAAGCACAATGATCCTGCCCTCATCTACAGAATGTCCTAAGGGAGTTGGCCAAAGCTGAGTCACTGTCACCCTTCAACACACGCACATGCCTGCTGCCAGCCGCACCCTGATGACATCAGTACCTGAATCCAAACATCACCTTTCCTTCTCTGCATCCCACCTGCCGCCCCCTCTGTGCCCCTCTCTCCCTCTGTTCCTTCCACCTTTTTTGCTTTCATAAATGACATAGTGAGGTGAC